AGAAACAAGATAGAAAAGACAAAGAAGAGAGAGATTAAAAGAATTTTATATTCTTGTATTTTACATTTTACATCTGTTCCTTTTCTATCTGCATCACTTATTCACTTCTGTCAACGTTATCAATCAGAATCACTGTTTACCACCAAATAAAAGACGCAGAAGAAAAAAAAGATTTCTTGTACAGCATTACATAATTATTGAGTACATAATTTTTTATTACACCAAAAAGGACACATAATCATGTAATAATATAATTATGGTTTTAAAATCCTAATGTATGTGATATTAAATGGGCAAGGAAATCAGATAAGTTTATTTGTTAGATACCGCAGACGGATGTAGTTGTATCACATAATAGAGGAAACTCAATATCTCTGAAAAGGGATTACCGGTAATGAGCAGATGGTAATATTCTTGTACATCGATGAAAGTACAATACAGTGGCATCACAGTGGGGTACTCACAAACAGAATTCAAATGGAGCCGCTTCGATGAAAAAGCAGATCTTATCGCGGTGAACTGTCAAGGGTGCATCATCGGATTGCTCCTATCCCTGCCGGGCTGCCAGCCGTCCCTGGTTCATCCCCTTTGACGCCCGACTCAAATTCTAGCCCGATATCGTTCTGACGCAAAAGAGCATACGGAGTAGCCCGTCAATATACATGTATGTGCTTTCGGGAACGACTCGACGTATGTGCACAATGCACTGTGTTCCTACATGTATATTATATGTATGTAATTAGTACTAATGCGAAAAACAAAACGGAAGTGTTTTATATTACATATGTAAAATTGGTATCATTTCATAACGTTTACCATGAAACCCTGGCCGTACTTTAACGAGCCTGACTCGTGATCAGAATTTTGTACCAAACATGAATATGAGAAGAACTCGTGAACATAATTTCACTCCCGAGGAAAATGTGCAAAGTTTACTATAAATATAAATTAGTACATTTTAAAATATAAGATACGAGATAAGAATACGATGAATCTCCTCTATAGAAAACGAGATTGTTTAGTTTCGTACTTCACTTCGAAATTATTCAAACGTCGCAAACAATTGATTAAAAAATTGATGAAATCCAATTACCGAGACAATGCGCGAAATATAAGAAGGTTGAAAAAGTGATTTACGGTTACATTAATAATTAATCAGCGTGCGCCGTCGGTGCGTTGCACGAAATAATAGCGAATTGACAGATCGCCGATGAAAGAACGTGTTATCGTAGGGGCTGGCAGAGAAGGCAATATCGCTAGAAAAACGATTTCGTATTGTACCCACGTTGTAACGTTTGCAGTGCGGCACGTGGCTGCCATACCACGCGCCACGTGCCGATCAATCTAAATCTAATAATACAAACAGCCTTAACAATAACGCGCACCGTACATGCTACCGGTTGTTGGCCGGAGGTAACAAGACACCATGTGAACTAATCACCCCGAAGTGGTCCTCGAGATCCTGTTTCGCTATTTGTTGATCCCGAACCGTTTCCTCTTGGGACGAATACAATTCAACTAGCAGACGCTTGCGGCAATCGAAACATTAGTTTCATACGAAATTATTCTTCACATGACTTACATGAGTATCAATAAAATTGCAAAAGGAAATTCAACTATTGTAAGGTATAATTATTATGCGTGGAACAAGTACTGTGACGTACATTATGAGATGAATTTGATCTAATTAAAAAGAATATTCATCGACACTCAGTATTTATGTTTCTTGAATACACAGTTCCACAAGACATTTAAAATGGAACAACCTTGTTAGTAGAGATTTCACAAGCACTAATTTAAAAGAAAAATCATCGTCGTACGATAATTTGTTGCTGTGTAATCATCTTCTAAATTTGGGCAATTTCCAATACTTTCCTAATACCATACTATTTTTTAATAGTACATTTCTATTTAATATCCGGCGCAATTTTAAGTACTCAACATGTTTTTACAATAGTTTATTAACTATAGTTTGTTAACTACAGTAAATTGAGGTGATGGTAGGATTTGTAAATGAACTGCAAACGGTTGATTTTAATTCTCAAAAATGTAAGTTTAATTTATTTCAATATACATCGACGAGTGTTTGTACGCGCGTTTACGTGCTCGTGAGTGTGCGTTCGCATGCGTACAAAAACGACACGTCATGTAAAAGATGACAATATGTGATTGAACGAAAGTTGATAATGTTCGCAATCAAGATCACAAGACCACAGAGCATCGCGGTGGCTCCGAGACGGAGGAGCGCGCCCTCCACGGCGCAAGGTGCGCTTGATAAAGTGATATGCAAAAAGGAACTCTTTACAATAATAACGTCTTTTTAACGATACTCGTTTCGAGGCAAAAAAAAGACGATACGATCTACGCTTCGCTTGTAAACTGCTGTAAAATCTGGACTAATTTGGGAATTTCAATTCAGTAACGGTACATGCTTCGTATACTTTCGTCAGATTCGTTTCTTGCGTTTGCTTTATTTTTCCTCCTTTATTTTGGGCCGGTTTATCGAACGATTCAAATCAACTATACGTTTTATACAGTCATTGCAGACGATTCCAATTTTTAACATCGTTTTCCATTTCCATTCATATCAACGTAACTATCGTGTGTGTGTATATATATATATATATATTTATATTGAACGTATAAATCGTTCATACATAGGTATACGTTGAATGAAATAATGCGTTTCGCCGAGGTCGGAAATGGTCACCTCAAATAGCGAAGAATTGCGTACGCGCGCGCGCGATTCGCACGTTAAAAGATTGGATCGCCAGCATATAATCATTATGTATACGAATCAAGCTATGACGCTCTACGATTATTTACATCTATGTATAATAATTTTTGCCCTATAATCACGTTAATATCGTTTCGTTGAATTCCTGGAAATAGTTTTATCTTTTTGTACATCGCAACAATATTTACAGGGAAATGTACAAATTACAAGTTAGACGTTACGCTACCTAGCCGATAATGGTTAATCTCTTAAAACGTACGGGTAGGAAGTTAAAATTTCAAACTCGAAAATGCTCTCTAAAACTATGATGTCTGTTATTCACTGATAAGCGATATGTCCGTCTAGCAGTTAAGTCGTTTGCGACCCTAGACTCTCGTTTAGCCTCTTTGCTTGCTTTGATATAAAATTGCTCAGCACCCTGTGAACGTCCCCGCCTGCGTATACTATTGCCACTGAGAGCCTCCCCCTTCAATTATTCGGGCGAATTCGTCACAGCATCTTATCGTAAAATCGAAGAAAAAACACGTTGAAAATACTTGTCATTAGTTTATAATCGTTTAATGTTTCCGTATACGAGAGGAGACGCAGGGCGAAGGAGGTACTCGACTCTATCAATAACTCGACTCTTCGTGTCGGGATAGCTACATTAAAAACAATAGCAATATCGAAGACACGGAAAGAGTATAATCATTCGATTGTTTATTTGAAATACTAATGATTGCAATTAAAATTGATATTTAATTAATCACTTTTATATCAGCCGTTCTTAAAGAACATTTCTAGATTTATATTTGGGAAGTTCATATTATTTTAAATAAAATTAATAATTCTTCCATAAAAATAAGTGTGTGCTGATTGTTTAGGAATTGTAATTAAGTATTCCATAACAAATCAACCGAATGATTATGTTAATAGATGTAGAAAAACACCCTTATGTACTTCGATATGTATCATTCCTTAACTTATTCGATCATCGTTAACGATGAAACGCTGTCAATCGTTTGCACTGGTTTCGATACGATCTCCCAAAACTGAACTCTGAACGTCGATTCAGCTCCGACGAAAATCATCCGTAGACGCGTTTCGTTTCTCAGTCTGTGGTGAAACGAAAAAATAGGCGAATCGAGAGGTCTGGCTTCGATTCAAGAAAGCGATTGTCAATCGCGAGTACGATGATTATCGAGATGTCTGAATTCGTTGAGATCCTCTGCGTCGATGGATTTCACTTTCGTGAACGCATATCCGATGGTTCCGCTGGAGCTTACATTTCGTAACACTATTTGCCGTTCGAGGAGAGCAACGGGCTGGCGGCGTTTGAATATCCCTGGCTGCAGGTGGGCAACATAAACGGATTCACATTGAACGGTGAACCGACCACTTCGCCTAGTCCTGTAACATACCCACTATCGGTTATACGTTAGTGTCATTCACTGCGTATTTTACTGATATAAGTAATTTAATATCACAGATTTTATAATACAGATTACAAATTATATATAGTACAGATTAATAAAATTGTTTGCAATCTTGCATTGAGGGGTAAATGCATGTAAAAAGGAAAACGCATCGGTAATGCACTGCGTCGTTTCGGTCAGACACGTGCCGAAGAAACGACTACGATAACAACACTAACGATCTTGTTAGTCTCTCTTGACAATCAGTAGTAATACATGATACCTATTATAGCACTTTACTGCATAACTGTATTCATTTATTGTAATCATATTTTGCGTATTTTATATTAGTTTGCAACTAACATGCAATAACACATTAATGTTATTTTCCATCATTTATTCATAAGAAATCTGGTTCATATTAAAATAACGTTTTTTTTACTATGCAACATATAAAAAAATATTTAACTACTAAAATAAAAAGTATTTTACTGAAAATTGTAGAGACAAAGAAAAAGTATAAGAAATAAACAAGGTGTTTGTACGTGTAAATGATTTAAATGAATTAGATATAATAAAAAGTTAGCTCAATGCTCATACATCAGATATGGCTGTTTAAGTAATGAAAGGAAATTAAAAGTATTGAAATGCAGAATGCACCCACGTAAATAAACGTATAGAATATCGTACACTTAGATAGTGAACCAAACGTATACGTAACTTTTAATTTTCATTTTGTGTCCATTCTACAAAAATTATTAAACATGCATAGACATTCGCTATCTAATATTTATCGATAAATCAAGGCAACCGCTGTGCGATATTCAATTAATCAAGGACCATGAGGAGAGGTGGCTATCATAAATGAACGTGAGTGTACATACATCTTCGAGTCTCGTCTCTCGTGCATGTTTCTCATAATTCTTTAATCGCAGTGCATAGGGTGGTTGTGGTGGTGATGATGGTGGTTGTGATCGTGGACGGTTAGCGGTTACTGGGCGGCTGTGGCGAGGTGGTGCTGTGTGGACCAGTGCGGTGGGACTGAGGTGGTCGGTGGTCGTACTACGGGGGCGAACGCACTCCCGTCCCCAGACGTATAGAAAATGCCATACTGTTCGTGCGCTAAAACGAAAATTTCACATAAAGGAAAATCATAATTGCGTGCGCCAGAAACTGTGTGTGTACACTGCTGTACCGTAAGAAGAGCATGCGTGCCAGGATTTTACGTGTACACGGATTTACATAAAACATGCGCACACTGAATTATGAATTGAAATGGGAAAACATTTTCACCGACTCTTTCCTTCATTAATTAGACACGTCAAAGTTTTTTGTTATCACGTATTTTAAGATACTAACATTATGAATTATAATAATCGTGATGAGGAATTAGAAACAAATTGACGCCTTCAGTGATCGAATAAAATTCACAATTTCTCATGAAGATTTTCGCATCTCTTAATATTTATATTGAATACAATCATTAATTGAAATAATTCATCTTATTATCAAATATTTCATTTCTAATGATTTATTCAACACACTTCCTTCAATAGTGCGCTTTAATCTCAAAGATATTAATGTGTATACAGGGTGTCCATCCTGAAGTGATACAGTCCGATTACTCTATGTATATGCATTAACAACAGAAGATAATGACAGATTCTATTGAGGAATATTCTAACATTCGTTAGCCACATATGTTGAAGTTCAAGATTAATGGTAAGAGATTGATAACACAACGGTAAGAGATTGATAACAATAAAAATATGTATACTTACGCGACGTGTAAAGTGTTGGACTACCGGTGTACGGGTTAGCCACGGAATAACTTCCATTCGTGCTGTGACTGTGCGGTGTGCTAGCCGAACTTCCGCAATAACCGCCGCCAGTTACGACTCCGCGAGGACTCGCGCTGCTACTTTGCCTGTAAGCGTCGGCACTACCACCGACGCTACCCCCAACGCTGCCGCCACCGCCGGCTCCGCCGCCAGCACCAGCTCCTGTCGTCACGGAACTACCGTCTAGAAATAGAAACCTGCCCGTCAGACGAACTAGTCAGTATAATTCACCATTCTATTCGTAGTGTGTTGCCTAGCGCGTCGTATCAAGGAAGTATTTACTTAATCCTTAGAAATATGAAAACAACTTTGAAAATTTATTTTACATCCCCATGTTTTTGTGGTAAAAAATCATTTAAATGTAGACTACATAGATTCGAAATTTCAATTGATTCGTGACAATAAATTTTGCAACGTTGCTAAATTTTTCGTCTCTTATTTCTTCTAAAGCATTCTATGTAACCAATAATTCCCGTTTCTTTATTGATCATTATTTCAGGAGTTTACATAGTAATATCTCTTCAGTTTCATGTCTTCGAGAAGTTTAGATTTTAATTCATCAGAGCTCAGTTTTATCAAGTTTTTTAAAGTCAATAAAAAATCTTTCGTTCTCTGTCTTCCAGAGTAACCACCCCTCAAGAGCATGTATATAATAATCAATTTCGCACATACTTTTACGGTAACTGATTCTGAAAATCAGATACTGCCTTTATAGAACATTGGAAGAACTATAAAACCAATTACTACTATAACTACTATAACTATAAAACCAATTTCATTAACATTTCATACATACTGTTTCGAAAAATAATATTTTAAATTAAATGCTGATCATGACAGAACCAATCATATATTCCGAATCATTCATATTATGGGAATATATGCAATGTACATGCAATGGTATATCAGAATTGTGAACCGTGAATCGATATATTCTAATAAATTATCATATTTATTAAAAAGCCTCATGTATTGTCAGGACAGATATTTGAAATATATTTTCATTATTTGCAATTAACGGGACTTGATATTTCCCAGAATAATCGTTTCTGGTTTCCAATTGTAAGAACGATCGTGTTGTCGTGTGTTCTATAATGTATCGTTTCAATACTTACCGTCTGTCCATTTCGCCGCGCTACCGTTTTCCTGTACCGTCACCGCGAGTTGTCCTGTATACGAATTGAACGCGGTGGCCGAACTAGAAGTTGGAGGTGCTGTTGGATGCCCCGAACCCGGACTTCTCGGCGCTCCTGTGATACCAGCGTTTCCACTCCTAGGCATACTATATAACGCTTCCGCGAGATCCGCTGCCCTTTTCAGTATAATTTCCTTTGGTAATTTCTCTGGATCACCAGGATGCCGCGGGATAAGCTTTTGTAACCTTTGGAAGCCGTAATCGATCGTTGGTTCATTTAATGCTGAAAAACATATAGAATGTGATTATACTTAATGAAACAAGAGCTCAGAAGGTATAGTTGTTTAACTGAGAGTTTTATACTTACAGACATAAACGAATCTACCAGGTGCTCCTTTACAGAATTGTTTAGTCTTATAAGATAACGTGACTTCAACGACGCCTGGTATTTGTCGTGGTGGAGTTTGTACTCTAATTGCATTTGGTGTAATTAACTGATAAAAAATGAGACAGACTTAGAAGAATTGAAAGAATAGTGTACAACAGATATCACGTAACATTCTTTATAGTGTATTTAGTTTATGTATAATCTGTATTGCATATGTACCTCGCTCCAAACTAGCATCGATCCGAAAACAACTTGAAGCCCGTCGAAGAAGTTCTCGCCAATAATTATTACCGTGGATCCACCGGATGTCCAACCTTCGTTCGGCGATATCGCCTTTATACACGGCGTTTGCAGCGGCACTGGCGTGTAGAGACCTAATTTTGCAAATACGTATTGTACTTAGTAATTTCAAAATAAGAAGCTTTTTCAATTGAGCAGTGGCAAATGGTTTACACATCTAATAGGTGTATGTTACATTATAAACGACGAATGTAGTGGCGCGATGTGGAAAAAGTTGTAAAGGTGTAGGTTGAGAAATATCACGAATTCCTTCGATTGCGCAAGGTAAGCCAAGACAGTCGGCTGGGTTGGGGGTGGAGGTATACGGAAAATTATCTGAATATTCTGTTTATTCGGTCGAAGCTGCGCGGTAGATATATTTTCCATGGTAGTGTGGCACGGAGAAATAGAAAGGGAAAGAGAAAGGCGAGAAAGCGGGCGAGAGGTGGTGGAGAACTCTGCGGGCCAAAGTGGCCAGGGAAGGGTTGTAACAAGAAGGAAGGGGAGGCGATCGGGCCGCCGGTGTCTCTGCTTGGAATTTATAACCCAATGATATCATTTTGTACCCCGGCGAAGCCAAGCCACCGGTACCAACCCTACCAGAGCGGAGCCAGAGTGGCTGACATCATGGTATATTGCTCCCAGTGATGCTCAAACAGTTTCCATCTCGGCTGTTTACGCTCTTAAATCTTAAAGGGCTTAAGAGATCTCGACACCGGATAACGTTGCTGTATTTCGGAACCGTCTCCTTTTCTTTCGCAATTATTTATTGATACGGCGATGCAGAAATTAAAGAAATTGTAAATAGCATTAAGATAACAATTTAACAAGAGACTTAAACATATTCGAGAAGATAATTTAAATAATTACAGGCGTTGGCCATAATTTAAATAATCTGTTATAGAAATATTGATAATATAAGACACCGTGTAAAGTAGGTCATATAGGATAAAGTATTGCACGAAGACATTGTACATATACAGCTAAAGAAGTTTTAAATACATCAGTACTACAAAGACTTAAAGAATTGCGATCCAAGTGCAAATGAAGATTCTCAAATGGGACACAAGTATTTATTGCATTCAATGTACGAGAAAGTCGTTAAACAGAGTCAGCCACGTTGGCAACCACCCTTGTAGAGAATCGTCAGTCGGAATGGTGTGAGGCAAAGGAGTAGGTGGAGGTACGATGGAATGAGAAGAAAGAGGAGGGTTGAAAAGAGGAATTCAGTGGAGGAGGCCGGAACAAGCGTACCAACCCGGAATAAATAAAAAAGGGGTGTGCCACCCTCACCACTCATTCTTCCTACCCCTCTATCTACCCTTATTTTTTTACCACGGAATCGTGGCCAAAGTCTAAGAATCGTTGTACTCCGACACGTTCGGCCCGATTTTCTCTGATCACTGTTAGATCGCGCGATAACTTCGTTTACTCCGATAAAGAGCCGGGAAGTTCTCCAGTAAGAAGTAGGTTTCACTTTCACCGCGATGAGTGTGATTAAATCGATACTGCTTCTTCTTTGAACTCTGAATAATTTTCACTTCTAATATAAAGATTAAGACATGAAGATAGAATTTGACAATAAACTAATATCCATAACTGCAATTTTTTTTTATAAAATCGTACTATCCTCCAATTAATTTTGAGAAATATGACAAAACTTTGATTTGGGCTTAGGAGTGTATTTATAATGGCAGCAGGAAGTATAGGTACATTCTTCCTTTGTTCAGTTCTGTTCCCAACTTTTTTTCTCCCCGATTTTTGTTTCTTCACCCTGTTCGTACGCTTTATCTCATTGGTATGCTCGTATCAGCATTTTCGGAGTTGCTCGCCAGGGGATTTGGAAAGAGTATTACCCGCGTAGCGTCACAGTAGTTGCGAAAACCGGGAGGATGGCTCGAGAAAGCTTAAACTTAGGACAAACCAACACCCCACAGCAACCACTGCCAGGACAGAGTAAGACTGCTTTAAAAAAAAAAAAGGAAAACAGAAAGAAGGGAGAGAGGGAAGTCGATCCCGAGTCGCTCTTCCTCCTTTCGTTCTACTTGCGTCTTCCTGTTGAATGGCAGACAACCGAACGAAAAGGAAGGGTGGAGAGATACGGTGTACGGTTGAGATCTGCGAAGAGAAGACGAGGAAAAAGAAGGGTAGAAATAAGGGCAAAGGAGGGAGAAAGGAAACATAAAGAACGCGGTGGATCCCTCGGTTTTCCGCATCCCATTGATTTACATCTTGTCTTGGTGCGGCGAGGAAGAAAGGCTGGAAGAAGAAAGCTAGGAGGAGAGGAGAACGCGCGTACTCGAGGGGTGGCTGCGAGATATCAGCCGTTTGTATGCGCGGCCGACGCCAAACTTTGCTGAATTGCCCTATGACTCCTTATATCCTATCCACCCGAGCACGCCCTTCCCCCTACCCGTGCGATTCCACCCTCTACTAAGGTTCTCGAGTCGTTATACCGATCTCGAAGAAACCAACTCGCTCCGGTTATGTATCCTCCTCTTTCATTCGAGAATTCCGTTAGGGGTGGGAAACGCTGCTCGGGTGCTTCGGATCTTCCAATTGTAAATGACGACTATAAATCGGCTGAGAAACTATGGTAAGGTTACGCGTACGCAATTAAACCAGCAATGCTTCACGCGAAATTTAATTGGACGTCGTACCATTTAATGCATAACTATTTCATCAATATCGTACAATGCTTGAGAATACTAATTGTTTTATGGTTATCAATCACAATATATTTTTGTACATGAATCGAGAATCTAATTGTTATAACAGTTTCGCTTCACGTGAACAATGAGCATTATTCGTTACATCAATTTAATTACGCAAAGTATAATCACTTTTATAGCACATATTATTCTGTTTTCATAAAATTACGTGAAGTTAATTGCACTGTTCCCGGCAAAAATGAATCCCGAATGGATAGTGAGTAATAAATAAATTTATGTTAAAATGTGTAAACTCGTAATCGTAGTGGCATTCGTAGAATATTTACTTGGTGACTACGCGTTGCGATACGTACTGTTGTACTCGCCAGGATCGCTGGGATCCAATCGTTTCGTTCTACGGCCGTGTTTGCTGTTGTTGTGAACGAACATGTTGTCCGAGACTGCCAGCAGTGGTCCCTCTACTCCTACTTGCGTCGAAATGACCACCTGTTACGGGAGATTGAAATTCAACGTCAGATTTCGTGAGAAAATTTACTAAAGCCTTACTTCAATTAAACATATAATGAACAAACATTATGACAAAAATTAGTGAAAACGTTTTAATATTGATAAATATTAATGTGGAGGGAAAGTGGAAATGCTTTATCCTACATTTCTGCAAATTTCCAATTCATATTTCCAGTTAGAAAGTAGAACGAAATGCATGGTTTTAGTTTCAATTAAGCATTAAAACTTATTATACTAGGCTGTCGCGAAACAAGGCATAAAAGGGCGTGTGCACCATGTGACTATGCCACGGAATACGTTGAATAATTTTATTTACGTGTTATGTAAGTACTGTTATGCAATTATGCATATTAATCGTATCTCTTGCGAACGAGCAATGCAACCTGATTTGCTGCATTGCATTATGTGCATTCGCCATGCATTCCGTGACTCTCGTGACCCTCTATTTGCACGTATGATAGATACTATCGTGCAAATGTATGAATATCATCTCATTAAAGCTAAGTCTCGTAGCTCCATTGTTCCCTTAACCAATTTAAGGTAACATATATTATAGGAACGATAGATAGTCGAGTAAGAGAAAAGTTGTTTTCATCATTATTTTCTACATAATAGGAAGAAAGTATTTTTCGGACAAAACTACGGCGAATTGAATCAAGCCATATGTTTAACTTCAAGTTTCCCGTACGCAATCAAGAGGGCGATGATTTTCGGGAGAAAGTCGAAAGAACGTTTATAAAATCGACTGTGCGGTCGGCGAATGCTCGAAGTTTTGTCTTTTCGTAACTTTTCAACTTTCCTGGCTGGTTGGTCGTAGCATCCAACGCGTAACATCGTGCAAACTTGGTTGGCATAAAGGTGAGGATAGCCTGACGGTCCTTCGCGCGAGAAATTTTCGACGAAGGAGACGCGCTATTAAAATTTTAATTCGCAACTTCAAGCAATAAGCAATTCTTAAATAAATTCGCAACTACTCTAAGTACTTTACTTTTCTTACGCCTTTCAGTGTGTGAATACATAAATGAACCGGTGACAAATAAATCTAAACGTCACATAAGCAACAATTTTTTGGCAAAATTGCAAATGTATGGAATTTATGTGATATAGAGCAAGAGAACAAGCACATAAAAGAGGAGAAGCGTAAGAGTCAGGTTCAATCTGTACACTCATATGTAAAACTTTCTTTCTGTTCTCAGTAAGAAATTCATGTGTCATCTATCTATACGAAGTCAACTTTTGGATGCCATTGTTGCACGACTACTATCTTCAATATCTTGAACTCTGAACTAACCTTCAGATTTCAAATCCTGACGAACACAGTGACACGAAGATATAAAATAGAATAGAACAATTCGTGTAACAATATTTGAACTCGATTGCAATGCGAAACACTCCTAACTAAGATTCGAATTAGAGTCATAGTTAACATTATGCTACTTTACAGTATCTCACAATCTTTGAATATTTTTCTGAAATCTACTTTGATCGACACGAAGAAAAATTCTTATATTTCAAGTTATATCTGGCATAATTTCATTTGTGCATCTGTGCATGCCAAGTGGGTCGCAAATCCTTTTGAATAACCGTGCATTAAAATAAATATAGTGTATCACCGAAATGATTAAAACTGCTATTTTCTTCAAATGAAAAAGAAATTAGTGACCGGTTATGTTTCCTTTCACGACTCGAGCCCTTTTTGTTCGATTAATGGTCTAAGGGGAGGGAACGTAACAACAGCGCGATAAGGCAGACGAAGAAGTCAATAGAAGAAAACGAAAAGACAGCGAGTAAAGTTTTTGGTAATTTATTTTTTAATTCCACTTTTTGTCTGTGGAAATGGAGGGGTGGCGAGATAGGACTGTCGGTGGGTAGGAACCATCGTTATACAGGGGTGGAAAGCGGAAGGATGAACAGATCTGGAGGATGGGTCGGTTGATGCCGCGCTGAGCTAATTGCCAACCCCTTGGATTATGTCTCCTGGATGGAGATCTCAACCTCCGACGATGACCGACCATCGAGAAATTGCTGTCTTCTAGAAGAAGTTTTTTCTTTTTCGTTTTCGAAATTAAAGAAGAGTGGAGGCGTCGCAACTCGTGAACGCGCACACGGTAATGCGTCGATAGGGTTGGCTTTTGACATTCTCATATCTACCCGTTCGTCTGATTTCACGAATCGTGATTCGAATTTCATTTAAATTCTGTGCACCTATTCTGATATTTTAGTGCATGCTTGCAATAGCCTTATAATGTATGTTAACCTATTTGAAAAGTTAGAACACTTTTTGGGATACACATAATAAATTTATTTTTTAATAATGTATCCTTGGCTATTCTGAACAAAACAACTTCACCCCATTAATAAAAAAAAAGCGACAAATCGAATACAAATTTCTATCCTTATGTATTTTCTGTCACAATGAAATATACATAGCGATAAGACTAAGTAAATTAATGAAAAAATATTTCGATAATATAAAAAAAATTGATGGTTCAACTCACCTGGAAACGTCTCATATCACGTGGGTTGCCGGCATTCTTAAGGCAGTTCTGGTTGCACTTAAGGAAGAACTTGAGGAAGAATCTGAAAACAGGGGAGACTGGAGTTAAACGGTTGACAAGGTGCTTAACACTCTTCAACGCCGAGAACTTAATTAGAACGCGAACTTGGCTCGAAAGTAAGCCTGAATATTGCATAAGCCAATCGTAAGCCCCGTTCTACTCGCCTCTATTATTCAGTATTTCTCTAGATTAAACCCCCAAACCACGTGTTCTTCGACCTTTAGGACTCGACAGTATTATACCAACATACATGTACTACGCCAGACTACCGAAATATCAGAAAACTTGCATTCTTCTAAAAATACATTCTCTTACTTGGTGAACACTCTATAGTAAAGAGTACAAATTATTCATCGTAAAAAATATTCTTAAAGAAGTATCATAGATATACTAATTATACTCGATAATTTAAACGTTGTATTAAAAAATGTAATAGTAGAAATTAATATGAAGGGTGTAATAGAATTCATGTGCATACTTACACGAGTGAGACAAAAATAAAGCAAAGATGTAGGTAAGTTTGAAGAAAATAAAAGGTGCATGAGTTTCAGACAAAACGGCGACGGCTCAATTTTCATGAATTATGTAGTATGCAGGGGAGATATTGAATTGAAGAAAATTTTCGCAAACATCCCGTGATATCCGTGTTCGAGTTGGCGGAGATGGAGGAAGAGTTCGTCGAAAATGCGCGGAAAGAGCGAAAGGCGAATATACCTCTATAGGTGGAGCGGAATAGATCGAGAGAAAGAGAGTGGAGAAAACTTATAGGAAACAATCAGGAGGACCGAGACGATGAAGAGTTCGACGAGCGAGGGTGAGGGGAGGTGTAGTTTTCTGGGTGGCTGGTAGGCCTCTCCTCCCGTGGGACACCCCATTGTCATCCCCCTACGGACTGCGTCTGCACGATCCGGGACTCCATCGAAAAATCAAACGCATACCTTCTACCAACGACGCCTGTTTTTTTCCTTTCTCGCTTACGCGAACCGTCCGAGCGAAACTAGAGGAGCTCGTCGGATTTCACTTCGTCGCCTCGGTCTCTGTCAATATCGCACTTCCTTCCTACTCGCTCGTCTCCGTTGTTTTCCGTATTCTAAGAGGTAAACGCAGACAAGAACGTGCAAAGAGTGACGGTGAATGCTGGTTCGTTTAATTTTATGGATGGCCAACGAAATAAAATCGTTTAGCTGTTGCACTGTATACATGCACCGTCCTTATCGTACCACTGATTTATTTCGTACCGCGTCTCATCACCCTGCGTGTCATCGTCCTTTTTATCTCCCATAAAATTCTGAGGAAACGCTGCACTGGGAGTGATACCGTACGTACTACCGAAGTTAATGAAGTTATTAAACCGTGATGAAACACGCATCATCGTCGTATATACATAATTATGATCATAAAGTTATCTGTTATTAAATCAAAACCTAATTGCTCGTCTTATATTTCATTCAAAAGGCGCGTTTTCTTTTTTCATGAACGTTCTATACAAATCCATATATTGCAAAATCATTTGCATAAAAAGTTTTGGTAAGAGAAATGTGGATATTTTATTTGTGTCTATAGTGAAAAATAAAATCAGATAATGGCCGTATGGAAATTTGACTCGACGATTTTCGTGGAAATTAATATGTGCAAAAAATGAGAAAAAAAAGTCGTTTTTACATATAACTATGTTCAGTATGTTAGAGAAGCCGTCATTCCTCTTTACGGTAGTATACGCATAGATAACGATACCGGGGGCGCGTATTATCGGGCATTACACACGGTCAGATTATCTAAACGACACTTTTATCGTCGAGCTGCACTATCCGGGGCAAGTTGTCAACCGAGTCGAATGTTTGGCACGGAATCCATATAGTTGAAAAAGTGAAAAGTAAAAATGAAAACCGATCGGAGTTCCCCTCTTGTTCGCGTAGAGAGCACGGAAGGGAATGCTGGCCGGGGTATAAAGAGTGCGGGAAGGTGGGAAAGGGAGAAAGAAGGGAAGGCAGGATATGCGGAAAGAGAAAGGGAAAGAAACGTATCGATCTCCAGCTTCATGCTTCTCGTATCTATCCGTATCCACGGGCCATACTCGCTAGGTTCGTGTTAACGGCTGCATTCGGCCGCCTTTGGAGCACCGAGAGAATTTAATTTCGTTTACTCTTAGAGGACGTTAAGATCCTATCGAGATGCTGGATGGGTATTCAAACCATTGTACTTCGACTTATCATCTCTGTGGATCTCGCTGTAAACACGGTATCTGTGTCGTGCCTGAGGCATGGAGAACGACAACGGCTTCTAGTCTTTCGCTGATACGGGCACTATATCGAGCATGCCTATACTCCGTACTACCGTGAAAATGTTACACACAAAAACATCTAATGTGTTAATATTTTTTACGTCCAAACGAAAAATCGAACCATCAATTATGCTTTGAATTTTCATATATCTATCGTATTCATTGGTTTACCTTATTTCAGTTAATTTACTATCGATCTGTATTTTCATTTCTGCGTTTGCTATTGTTTACAACGAAATTACAGAGTAAAGAATGAAATGATAAAGGAAACAATTGTTGTTTTCATAAATATTTCTTTTGGAGATCTATTACTGCACCGAATCTGCAGAGAGCCAACGCTAATCATTCGCGACACCCTACGGCTCACACTGACTGTCTGTTCATCCCTTCATTCTTTTTCCCTTTTAGAGTCGTTTTCTTCTACGCTGTCCTCCGAGTATTGGCTGTTAGGAGCTAATGGATTGCGTTACCGACTGATTCAAATGCGAACTGGATTTCATCCTGAGCTCGATGGGGCGACAGTATCGGCGATGTTGCAACGCGAACACGAGCAAGAAGGGTGGAAAGACCAGTTTCTTAGAGGGACCTAAACCCGATTTCGATCATCTATTAGATTTTTCTCGTTCGCCGATGCTTTCCGCGAGCTTGCACCAGTTTTCACGATAAAATCCATTCTAGATCGTCGCTTAACACTACCGGAAGGTGTGTCTTACTTAGTCAGAACATTCGATCGAGTTAAACGTCGTATTGGTTCAGCAATGTGAATTGATATGCCACAAAAGTTTTATTTTTAATACAGATATTTTCTAAAATATGTAACGGTATTAAAATACAAGCAAGTTGACAAGTTACAGTCATTCATAACTGCCTTGTAAGACGGAAACGTTCGTACTTACATTATCCCTTAATCGTCCTAAAGTTACGTCTAATAGTTTATGACAATAGCTCGTAACTCTTTACTTCTACACGAAACATAAAAAGTGGAGTATAACGTAAGCGTAGAAATATTTTTACGGTTAATACGTTTTAGAAGTGGAGCAGTATGGACGCAAACAACGCAGGTACCGCAATTAAAGTGTTTTATCGGCGAGTACAGCCGGCGAATCGGTTTGATTCTTTGCCGTATTGACCGTTGTTCTGCTGCTAACGAATTGACATGAAATAAAATATACAGAGGCCGACCGATTGAGAAATCATTCCCAACCTACCTTCCGATCGTGGCATGCCTTCCCGTTGCCTCCGCTAAAATGAAAATAAAACGCGCAACGGAAAGTGGAGGGCTGCACGCGAACGGTAGAAGGGGAGACAGAATGGCAACGGCGGCGTGGCGTGTAGCGGGAAACGTGCACCGTTCGCTGTTTCCAGTTTTACAATATACAACTTCGCTACCGACAGGATGGATGAACGAACGAACCAGAAAAAATAAACGACGCTAACGAAAAAAGAGAGCTAAATATTGGAGGTTCGCAGTTGGAGAGGGGGCGGGCGAACAAGAGCAAGGGAGAGTGAGAGGCCGGGTAAACAGAAACGAATGAATTCAATCAAACCTTGCAGTAAATCATCGGCACTTGTGCATCGGCTTGTTAATGCTTTGCGTGTACCAATTAGCTATTTTCATCACTACATCCAAGAGGATGCTCTTCCTTTCGAGAAAGTAATTTCTGTTGAAATGTTTCCGTTCGAGTAAAGATTTAATTGTAAAGAATGTCTAAATTATACAGACTTGCTTTATAAAAATTAATTTAAAATCAATATTTCTCCTGTTCATCAAATTCAAGTATAACCCTTTAAGATTTACTATGCTATTAAAATTTATGAATTAAAATTTTATACAGCTTTCTATACTACGAGTTACGTTATTTTAATGTACCACTTTTGTACAGAGTGATTTTTCCTTGAACGTCACTTCTCGAATTTATATCTTATCAGCATGTTGTATACGGGTGCGAAGGCGAAAGTAGATACCTTCTGATCTACTAAATATATTTCGACCAGGGGTGAATGGATATAGGGGGCTTACTTGGGGACTTACGCGTAATAGTTCCAAATAGGGTGGCATTACGCGTATCAGAAATCCATTTCCTCCTACGTCGGAAAATCTTTAATCATGTTTTCGGCTCCCAGAGCAGATCCTCTTTTTTTTTATCACTGCAGAGTAGCGAATAATGTAAAGTAAGTCTAGGGTAAAATAATGAAACATAGCATATGATGTTCTACGAATGAATTTAAAATTAATTTATCTTGTTAGCATAAATGTGAGCAAAAAATAAATGCGAATTCTACATAGAGACGTACCAATAAAAACATATTACTTTCGGGGTTAATGAGAAATTCTGTTGCCGTAGGAGCTAAGTAAGTCTCAAAGGAATATCAGTAAGTAAGAAATTCTGTCTGTTCAGTAGAATCGGAGGCGTGTCCGATAGAGTACTAATCACCTATCTAAACGACAAACCCCTACTCAGCAATCGTATTAACAATGTATCTCAGCAGCGGCTACCCCTTAGGGATGTCTTCATTACGTTCATTGTTATCAAACTCTAACAGAATTCACGATCTCATTACAGCTGCGAACATTATTTATTACCTTACCTATTGAACTTGATAAATATGAAATCTCGTTATATTTAATTTCCGATAAATATTAATTTTACTATTATTTCAAATTGTATCAGTGATACGAATAACAGGCAAGCATTCATAACAAATAATATA